GTCGGAGAAAACAAATGTCCATCTGGTTATGCAGGCAGGCACTAAACTAGTTAGAACCCTTGCTAAGGTTAACCACTCTCCGGATATATGAGCCGTCCTGGATGCTTCAGATCCTGCCCCAGCTGAGGGCTATAACCGTTTTTGTCTTACTTCCATACTGCAGTCTGACTGCACGCCTGTGCTAATGCACGTATGACTAAAAGGTCGGGTGTGGGCCTTTTCGAATGTAGCCACTGGTCCAGGCTCACGTCCAATTGTCTCGACACAGTCTGGCTGCCGTTACCGTCGGTGACTGACAGAGCATGGCTCTTCTGGCCAAGTCCAGTTGGATCGCATGGATCACGTTCCTTCGGCCTTCCGAGGACCCAGTTAGGCCGTGACTCATCGGACAGCGATTGCGTAGAACGACTTGGTTTGATTGGGGTGGGGGATAGTCTTCAATAGTGTCTGCATTCAAAGATGGACGTCTCCAGACATCTCTCGGACAAACCACTGGGAAAGGCCTTACCCATTGGCAGAGAATATTCGCCATGTAGTACCGTGATGGCTAGCGACTTTTTATAAATAGCTAATTTGTCAGATCAGTGCCCAGCAAAAATTGAAGGTTTTACCACTTCATGCTACATCGTTTTTCACTCGCTGAGCTCGAGAATTTTCCGATTTCACAGGCGGTCTCTGCCCGACAGTGCTCCTCTATCCGCCCCCTGCGAGCGCGTGAGGTAGTCCGTGGCTTGGCTGGCAGGCGGATCCGACCTCCCGGTGAATAAGAGGGGGGAGCGATGGGGGTTCGTTCGTGTTGTCTCGCCGTCAGGCGACTGGGGCGCGAGGACGATGCTGCCAAAGTCTTCACTACTGTGCGTCTAATTCGCGAGCAAATCACGAGTGCTCCCCACCACTGTAGTGGTGTCTCCTCGTCGGACGCACTGTCGTGTGCTTGGCTTTCTGACTGGGTGGCGATGTTGCCTCGAGCCCACGCCGAAGCCCACATTCTGCACGCGCCCCTGCGTTAAGGAATCGATACTCGCTTGCCTGGAGTGAGACAGAGGCCAAACTCTGATAATCCACTGCCGGGGCAGTGATGATCCTCCTCGAGCACGATCGGCGAGCCATGATGTGACACATCAAGTCCTCATGCGTGTGCGCATACCTGTGTGTTTGCTAGGCATGAGTGCTTACACGCATCCGGCAGTTTTACTGAACTCAGTCAGGCCCAGCGCAGACCTAGAGATTGCATAGGGATTGGCGTGCAAGTAGGTTTTGTGGGGACGCACAGGACAAAGCCAAGACCACTCCTACGCGTATTAAACACGTTTATTAGTGAATATATGGACTACCGTCCCGCTCAAAGACCAAGCGGATTTGAATACCACGACTATGCAGTAGTTGCACGATCCTCCATAATACCCCATGACCTGTTATGGTCGGCCTACGCTACCACGCGTGTCTAAGTGGCGAATTACGTGTAGCAGGCGTCAACAGTCGGTGATATTCGGAAATCCCACCAATCAATTTGCGGGGTTATTAGTAGCCCCTACCCTCAATAACTGTTCATTTGGTGGTGCTAGCAAATCGGCCAAGACAGACTGCTGGCGTGAGTATGTGACAGTCCCCTCCTTTGATCGACGACGCTGTCACACTGCTCTACTGGTCGCTTCACTCTCCCTATCGATTTGTTGCTGGAACGGCGCGAGAGCTCGAGGGCAATCAACGCCGCTGACTAGCTACAGACGGACACAGGCAGAGCGAAGGCACACATACGCACCGGGGGTTAGGAGCCTCAACGGCGGACACTGACACACAACACACGTCGGAAGAGACACCCTGTGGCAACTGTTTGCTAGGGCTCCAGTACACCCTCTTACATCAGTAGAGCTTGTCCAGCATAATTTGCCTTCTCTAGCTTGTGATTTGGGGATCTTCGTGTTGTCGACCATTGCGAACTACCGCGTCTGCTGTCCACTTCGACAAGTATTTTGAGAGCCCTGTCAACTTGGAGAACAGTCCCACCATCCTCTCTCGCTCTCTCCTTGACGGCAAGGTTGTTCGCCAGCGAGTTCCGAACCAGGCGTGTGGGTGCCAACCAAATATCCATACTTCGACGTATTTTGAATTTTGTCCTGGCAACTGGCAACCAATGGGAGTCTGAATTTCTGACTTCACTGAAACGTTGGATCCATGTAGTTGTGAGTCACTGTGACGGATGATTGGGATGGATGGTGCGCAAGGTTAGATTATTGTCATGCTCATCGTCTGCTGTAAATCCCCGGTGCGCATTTACCTGTCTTTAAATATTCGGTTTGTTGTTCGACAGTGCTGCGCCCCGCCGCCCATTCTCTCTAACCACTGCAATGACTGAGTTCTTGGAAGGCCGTTACGTGACTCTGGCGGTGTGGAACTTGCACCGGAATGCCGGATAACCAGGCCTGAGTACTCTGAATATACCGCGCTACGGGCGTCAATCTCTGCTGACAGATTGCAGTTTCGCTTGGACCAAGTGGGGGCTCGACTATCAACGTTTTCTTAAATTGTATATGTAAATAAAAAACGGCGTCCTTAGTGATAAACAGCGGTCAGTTGGAAGAAAGAGCAGATTTCGGGCATTCCGGCGACAGGCGCTTGTCAAACAGACGGACTGGGGACGACATTGTCATCCGAATCGATTCTCTTTGCAGAGTTTTGCAAGCCTTTTAGGGAGCCCACGGAGCATTTACAATTGTCAAACCTCGACGACGCCTGATTTTATCGCGCATTAGGCCGATTAGGTC